TGCAGGCAATACGCTCATACACATAAAATAAAAATAATAAATAAAATATTGTTTTAAAAAGACTGAAAAAAGAAGACTGGACTTTTGCAGTGTGCAGCCACTGGCATGAAGTCCCCCAGCACAGGTGGCCCTAACTCACCTCCTTCTCAGGGTTGGAGCTGATGTGCAGCATGGCCATGGGACTGTTGGGGGCACTGTTTCCAGTCGAGGTGGACAGCACATGTCCAGCCCGCACCCCAGGGGAAGCGGCTGGTGGGGGCTTTGGGGAGCCCTGGGCAGGGCTGATGTGGGCAGCAAACTTGTTCCCGTAGGTCTCTGACAGGTACTCCCGCACTTTCTGGTGCTGGGACTGCTGCAGGTGGTATGAAGTGGGGTTCTCCAGGTAGGACTGCACCTGGTAGGGGAGAGGGCAACAGTTCTAGTCTGGGCTGAGGCTGAGGAGCGGAGAGGTGGGGTGAGAGCCAAGCCTACCTTCAGCACCTCCCCGGGCACAGGTGGTGGTGACTGGAAATGGACCGGGGTGTTGATGGCTGGGGTTGGTGGTCCTCCCAGCTGCTGCTGCTGCTGCTGCTGCTGCTGCTGCTGTTGCTGCTGCATATAATGCATGACAGCCTGTTGCTGCATGCGCTCCCGCTGCTCCTCTTGCTGTGCCTGCTCCCGCATGAGCTGCATGCGCAGCCCAATGCGCGATGCCATGGTAGCAGCTGGTGTTGGCTCCCTGTGATCAAGAGGAGACAGACCCATGAAGCACTCATCTTTCTTATAGTCCTGGGGTTCAAACATGGCCTGGCACAAGCAGGATTGCTCCCACTGTGCATAAGAAGAAACTGGGTCCATAGAGAATGGATTTGACCAGGACCACTGAGTAAGCTGGCCCCCAAGCTGAGCCATGAGTCCAAGTTTCCTGATTTCTAGACCAGAACTGAAGATTCTCTCTTCTTCAACCTTTGCAGTTGGTTACCCTCAAAACCTGGAGCTAACCTGGACTCCACTCTGTCATATCTGCATCCTGACCATTTAAGATCTGGCCTGGGTGACATCCTCCTCAGCCGCCCCTCCCCAGCCCAGCCCTCACCACACCTCCTCTGAGGGCCTGAGGAGCCTCCCCATGCTCTACTTAAAGCTTTACCACCCTGTTAGTTCTGTCTCTTGCTCTCTGCCTACAACTTTTCATGGTTCCCAATTCACTCAGACTAAAATGGTCTGTTGCACCCTCATGGTCCCCTCTGATGTCACCCCTACACATGTATTCATGTATTCTCCCTAAAGTTCCATCTACCCTGGCCACACCTCCAGCCTCTGCAACTGCTCAAACACCACAGGCATGCTTCCACCTGGGGCCCTTTGCACTTGCTGTTCCCTCTACCTGGAATGCTCTTTCCCCAGATACCATCCTGGCTCACCCCTTCACCTCCTTTCTGAGACTCGAGTGTCACCTTACAGTGTGGGGGGGGGTGTCCAGGAACACTGTATTAAACTGTAAACTCTCAGTACTGCCCACCACACAGCCCTTCCGTCTTACTGTTTCTCTCTATCAGTTATCACCATCTAGAACACTGCATTGCTACTGTTATTACATTCAGCTGTCTGTCCCTTACTAGGAATGCAAGTCCCCCCAAGGGCAGGCATTTCAGTAGGTTTGTTTACTGCTGGACCTTCAACCTCTAGCCCTGGGATATGAGAGACACCAAGCCAATGTATGAAGACAATGGGTATTAGTCATGAACCAGGTACTGGGGATGCCTTCCTGAGTGCCTGGATTCTACAGTCTAGAAAAGAAAGGCACATCTATAGGCAGTTACAGCCCTGTACAGAAGAGCCACCTAAACCACTAGGAGCTTTGAGCTTGACCCACTGTGTGACAGGTGGTATTGAGGTCCCTAGGACTAGGTTGGAAGGTGGGAAGTGAAGAAAAACTGAATCCTGCACCTGGACCTGCTCTGTCCCTAGCTCACTGAGTAACACTGGCAAGTCCCGATCCCTCACTTGGGCCTCCATGTTCACAGGCACCAAATGAAAGAGTGGGACCCAGTGACTTCTCAGGGACGGATCAGGACTCTGAGAAGCCTGTGTATGAGTCCACGAGAGTACTAGTTGAGCAAGGGCTTTCCAACGGGGCTGACAGAGACTTGAATTCCGTTTTCTGATTCTTTGCTCTGTGACCTTGGACAAACCGCTTAATCTCTGGGAGCCTCAGTTTCCTCATCTGTAAACAGCTTCTACCTCTGGAGACGGGTGCGTGGTTTGTGCAGTGTGTGGTGCCTGGCAGGCTGAGTGCACAAGACATAGAAAATGCTAGATTGGCAGGGTCCATCCAGACTCTGCGTAGACCAGAGGCCAGAACTCTGACCACAAGCTCCAGACAAAAGGAAGCAGTGCTGGGCAGGAAAAGAGTCCAGCAAACATTCAGTGACAGCACACATTTGAGTGTTCTCTGGGTTGACACAGCTCCAAGCATCCACATCTTAGTCAGCCCGATGAAGTAGCCTGAGTTATCAGGGGAAACATAAAGAAGGGGAAACAGAGGCACAGGACAGGTAAGTGTTCTGTGGCAGGGACAGATTTGGGACCCCCATCCTAGCCAGACTAGCTGGGGAGGAGCCAGTGACATATAGGGCTGAGGGCAGGGGACTTATTCCCGGTTGACTTGGGGCCAAGAGTGGAGTCTAGACCATGGAACCCCAACCAGGGCTCCATCCACCATCCAAGTGGTTCCCTTATCAAATAAGAAGGCCCATCTATCCAATCTACCCACCAGTATGCAGTGTCTGCCATCTCATCTGCACCACTTACTCAGTAGGCCATGGATCAGTGAAGGCCTCCACAGCCCAGGGTAGGCAGGGCAGCCCCACCAGCACAGGCATGGACACCCCTACCTTCCCCCATTTCACAGCAACCAGCAGCTGCACACAGCCTCCACTCCCTCCTGCCACCCCTTCCCCAGTTTCTACAGAGAGGTTCCCCTATCTCCACACCCACACAGCACAACCCCCCCCCCCAATACACACTGGCCTACAGACCCTTGGCTTTAACCAGCTGCAGCCCCACCCAGAAGCCTGCAGCTTCTCCTCCAGGAACAATGTGACTTCAGTTGGCCAGTGGGGGCCAAGGGGCCTGGCCGTGCCAGCCTGCTCAGAGAGAGCTATGGAGAAGGAGGCTCTTGTTCCCTAGACAAAGGGCTGGCCTAGGGGGCTGGCTACATCAGGGATTGTGCTGGGCCTTGCTAGGCTTTGCTCTGGCTACATTGGCCTCACCTCTGTCTGTGAAATGGGTGCAGGGACTCTACTCCTTCCCTGGGAGTCTCCTGGCAGATGATGTGAATGGTGAGAGTTCACATGACAGCGATGAGTGTCAGTGGCCCCTGGAGACAGCAGGCAGAGGGACACTTCCCCACTCCCCAGTACCTTGGGGTCAGAGCTACTGTACCCAACATCCCTGAAGGAAAAGCTCCAGCCTCTCCCACCAGGCCTGGAAGAATAGGTGTGGGCCAAAGACAGGGACCTGAGGGACCCCGGGGTAGGGAGAAGAGACCCTTCATGCTCATAGGCCTCAGCCCCCTGCTGACTTTCCATGCTGAAGGGCCCCCAACAGCTTCCTCAGCCCTTTCTAGCCAGGAAGAATGAAGAGGAGGAATATGAGAAATCTAACTGTCCCTGCCCCTCCCTTCCACCTGTTCCTCCAAGCCTGGAAAACGGCCCACTGTGTGCAAACTCAGAAACATGGGACCTGCTGGGCCCTACTACAGGCACCAGAACAGAAGTCTCTCCATGCCCATAACCCAGGTACCACCTCCTTCTGAGAGAAAGGGTCTCCCTGCCTCTCCCATCTGCACTCCAGAACCCACCAGCTGCTTTTAGCTGCTTCTTGACCATGTTCTCAGCTGACTGTGCCTCAGCCCACAGCTTAGACACAGCTTAGTCATGATCAATGAGCTTGCCAGGCCCACAGACTGCCTGCGCTGGCTGGGTGTCCTGGAAAAGCTATGTAACCTCTCTGTGTCTAGCTTTCCTACCCTCTGGAAAATGGAACCAATGAAAATGTGTTCCTAGTGGCGCTATTGTGAGACTCCAGAGATACATGAATGTCTGGAACTTACCCTGCAAGCCCTTAAGCATTCAATAACTAGAGGAGAGGGTCCCTGTCACCTCTGGTCAGGGCCCCCCCCCAAGTCATTTACATCTGAGTATGAACAAGCTGGTCAGAGCCTTTCCTAAGGAAATGGGCAGGGATCATGATGGGAGGGGCAGAGAGCATCAGTGGAAAGTCTTGGGCCCAGGAAAGAAGATATAAAAGATATATTGTGGAGTTAAAAAGGAAATCTACAGAGTAGAATGTTCAGCATAAGACCACTTAGGCAGAAAAGGTGGGAAGGAGCAACACCAAATTACTCTGTAAGGAGAACATTATCACTATTGAGTTTTTCAGGGAGGAAACAGAGGCACAGAGAGGTGAAGTGCACAGCTGTTAGCAGTAGGAAGCGTGGTGGAGGCAACCCCCCAACTCTACTCCCTGGCACCTGAAGACTGGTCTCCTCTGGGGAGGGGTGGTGAGTGGGGACCTCTTTATATAGTTCTCTCCCCACTCACAAAGCGTTGAACTCATGCAGTGTGATTCTGTGTGGCTTGTGTGAGGCAGGCTGGCCTCAGGGGGGCTCCTGGCGGTCCAACCTGCTTCCAATGGTGTCTGAGGGGTCATCCCCAGGTCACCTTGCCCAGCCCAAGCCCTGCACTACTCAGGGCAATGGTTGTTAAGCCAGGTGAGGATCCTGGCAGGAGGGAGTCAGGGTCCAGCTCCAAACATCAACCTGTGGGGGGCACAATTTCCCTGTACTGCCTCCCAAACAGCTCTTAGCTGAGGCAGGTCCCCTCTGTTGTTTGTGGGGCCAGAACTGTCCTGGGGATATCGCCGGGAAGGGAGGAGAGCCCCTGCCTGCTGATTGGCCTCAGCCCCCTGCTGACTCTCCATGCAATGCACTGCTAAAAGCCTCCTTCTCCCCATCCCAACCGTGTTGTGTCTTTCTCTGTGTTTAAAAAAATAGTTTTTAAAAATATATATATTTATTATTTTTATTTTTTATGTATATGAGTGTTATGCCTGCATGTAGGTAAGTGCACC